TATTAGAATTGAATCTGACTTGTATAGCAATGAAGTTAGAATTAGCTTGAAATCAGCTTAAAATTAGGCTTGCATTGAATCCCAAGTAAATTAGAATCTATAGTGATAGACATTTGAATCAAAATAGAATTTACAATAATTGAAATAGATTCAACTTTGAATTTGAATATACAAAGTAGAGTAGAGTTGAATAGATTGGAATTTAAATTTACTTAGAATTAAACTGGAATGTAATTATTTAGGGTTTGCAATTCTTTGCCTTCTGATTATGATGTACTTGCTCAACTGCATTCAATAAGAGCAGTACAATTCACACCCTAAAACAAGACATATGGTTTTGCATGGGGGTTGCAATGAATTAGATTACTCCATCCAAGAACTGTTTAGTAAGAACATAACCTTATGGATTTAGACATTTGTGTAGTACATAGTTAAATGAACAAATACGCTTACCAACTGCACACCAGCACTCAGAAACATAGTTTGTTTTTTGGGGGGGCAAGCATATATATATATATATATGCACCGTAATATGCGTTTTCAGGTCAACAGTGTTTCCGCAAATCATCATAGTAACCATTGTCTTATCTTGGTGCCAATGTTCAAGACAAGTTGCATGTGTACACACCTGCCTTGTGTTGACTCTTGAAATTGCTTCTTCAAGTGTTTGATGTGTCTTTCATATTTAGTTAAAGTACAATTGTGCAAGCGACCCTGTTTAACTAGCCAATCAAAGCTTGGCAAGAAATGCGGGAAACTGTTGGCAAATTGATGCAAAGTGGTAGATGTGTTCTTTATGAAACATGATGGATATACAAACTGTCAAATACACTGGGAAGGACACCCTTCCTTACAAACCCTGTAAATGCCCACAGGCAAAAGTAAGAGTCGACGACAAGCAAACCGCAGTTAGCCGAAATTGCGATCTGTTGTGACATCGTGATACAATGTCATACAGCTATATATACACCCCCAAATAGATACAGTAGAACAATGGATCCCCACTAAACATATAGTGGACACCGTTTCGATGTTTCTGTTTATGTTTGATAATAAGGTTCACTTCGCTCCCTGACGAGCCAGGTATTCCTGATACCCAAATGTATTCCTCAATGCCTCATGAACCTCATGCCTGGTAAATGTTTCCTATGCAATTCACGTTGGACCCCAGCTCTGATTAGAAGAAACACATCACATTGTTTTACCAGTTGCCCCTGCGACGGCAGTTCCGTGCCTCCGAGGTATCCTTCTCATCCAAGGCGAAGCCAGCCTGTGGCGAACTAATGAGCTCACATTGAACTAATGTGGCTTCAAATTCATCCCTATGGATCCACAATGATCCGCATACCCTGTGAGAAGGTAAAAACACTTGCCTGCTGGGCTTGCAGGGTTCACGTGCCTGAGAAAGTCTGTGGATCCCTATGGGCAAAAACAAACACTAGGCCCGAGCCATGCATTTGGCACAAATCCCAACTGATGACTTGTGTCTGGTCCTCAGTTCCAGACATAAAGTGCCTCAAATGCTTGTGAAAATGCCTCTGGTGTAGGGCCATTCAGCTCCTTGATGTTTGGCATCCAAAAACCACTTATAGAGCTACTTCACGAACCCAATACTGAGGCCAAGCTTGAGGACTCATTTTGGACTCCACTGAGACAAACGGAGGTTTATGAGGCATCTGATGACAGACTGGCACCCAGCCACTCAGCCACAAGACCACGTTAGGATCATGGAAGACAGGGGGAACAGACTGAGTTCAACATCATCTTATCCGGATTTAGAAGAAAGAATCACCCGGAAGACATGGAAGACCACCCGGTTCGGATCCTTTGGAAAAGACCGAGTTTCTGATTCGATGATGATTTGCCAGGCCACGGTGATCCGGACGCTCAGCTGCCGGCCCAGACCCCGAGAGCCCCCGAGAGGTGAAACACATGGACCCGGTCGAAACAGGACATGAAATTGACACCCAACACATGGATGAAAGTGAATCAACCACCAACTTCAACTGCAACACATTGATCTTCAGGTCTTTTTCATCAAACTTGTGCCACATCTCGATGCGCTGGTTGAACTTGGGGCCGTGCCAATCGTGGGGAGGTGAGCAAATGACAAAGGAGTCTCAAGAGCGGCCTCGACCGACCGAGGGCCCGCGACACTGATGGTCCGGTGCGAGAATGACGTAAGTGTTCAAAGGCGAGCATGACGTAACGAGTGACTACATAGGAATACAAAAGAGGTATTTACCAATTGTTAAGGGGTCTTCAGCAAGTTTGGATGATTTGATTTTCAAATCTCTAGTCCCAATCATTTTACATGAAGAATCTCTAGATCTGGGCTTGGCTGTTCCAGCACGGGCTGTATCCAAGCTTGGGAAATGTCTCAAAATGTGTCCAACCTGGCACTCCAAACCATTGATCACCACAGGTGAAACGGGCAAACATTCCCCATGTTGAGGGATTCCAGAGTTCAGGGTTCAGGGTTGGACTCGAACTCTTCAGGTCAATCAACAATGTCAAGGAGGGTTGAAGTGAGAACAGGCACGTCAAGTATCATGAAGTAACTCTCTATATATTATATATATATAGAACAAATAACTGGACAGTAGGGTTGTGAACTATATGGTGACCCACCGGAAAGATGAAATAGAAGAGCCTGGAAACCCAAACAACCAGAAACAAATGGTTGTTGCAATATGGCAATTGAGATCCTTTTCATAGGAAATTGCTGTTTGGGGAAACGTAAGTTCGATTCTTTTTGGGGGCTCCAGGAGGAATATTCTATCGTGCGTGCAATCCACTTCTATCATGCAAGCCATGAACACAAATCCAAATATTGTCCAGAATTGTGGCCCCGAATCCCAACTACGACTACGTGGATAGACCCCCAATTTGATAGAAACGCAACCAAAAGAAGATCCCCGCTACACATGTATTGGAAATCGCTTCCATCTATCTATTGGGGATCACTATAGCTTCAGGAGTTTCCATTGGATGCTCGACTCAGTATCGCCCCTTTACGCCCAAGGGCTGCAAAGGGCTGGACCATGGACTGGCCGGAGCTGCCTGGCGCGTGGACGCACATGAATCTGGCAGCTAATGTTCGAAGCCAGACTACTGCAAGCACATGCCACCGATGTTTCTTGGGATTAATTTATCACTCTGGTCTCACTGGTAGGTAAGCTCCCCAAGAAAGGTAGAAATAGCATCCAATTTCCAGAAAGGGTTGAGAAACTGTTTCTGCTCTACTGGGCTGGTCACCAGGCGTATTTCTACCACTTGGCGATGGGTATATTTCTACCACTGGGCAATGATTGAAGGCTTTCTGACCGTGGAAAGCCTACTGGACGGAACCAGCCAACTTGTTTGGGTGCGCTGGAGGAGAGCTTGTTGTTTGGAGACACCACAGCGTCACAGTTGCATTGCACGAATCAAACACCTTTACCGGGCATGTTCATGAGCAATTATGGCATGCAACCGCCAAAAGGGATGTAATAGTTACAAGAAACATGCACAGTCAGTAAACTTCCGCAGGATTTGAAGAATCACGTATCCAAGCCGTATCTGCATCTTTGGGATGACTTTCCTTGTTTCTCACTGCTTTTCACCAGTTTCTTTCTCCCTGCAGAACGAATCAGGGAATTCCGGCCTGTGCAGGGAAAACTTTGGCATGGTCATGTGCAAGCTGATCTGGATTCAGCCTTGGTCATACGCGAGGAGATGAGTGCTGCAGAACAGAAACGTTGAGAAACAAAAACACTGTAAACAAAAACACTGTTTGCCTTTGAAGGGCCACAAGGGCACTAATCTACAGGAGAGTGTGAGGGTTGAAACTCCAACACAGCAACAGTGAAAACACCTAGTGACACCGGCATAAGCGTCATAAGCCTGCCGCAACTTGACCTCTTGGACAACCAGTGAGGTTGTCATCAGCAACCATCGGGATGCTGCCGCAAGAGCGACGCTGGCAGCGACCAAACACGTACGAGAGATCAGAAAACCGCTCCAAGAATGGAGTCTCAGCTTCCGCTGCTTAATCAGGGGACACTGATGATGAACGACACCTGGCATTAATTCAACATAGGTGATGTAAAGTTTAGATTGCTTATATGCAATAGTCTTATTATAGTATTTGTTTTTATGTGTAGAACATACGCACATCATATATAACATATTCCAACATGTATATACAGTGGGGTGACATTCTTCAAAAGATTCTGTTATCCACACTGATGTCCCCACAATAGCACCCACTTCCCTCTAGTTCCCGGCACCAAGCCGCTGCAAGAGCGCGGCTAAAAGCACGGCCGGCGAGGCATGGCCGGTGCCGCTTCCCTCGGCCTGGTGCACCGCTGCCCTCGATGGCCTCCAACCTAATAGTGATGGCCTCCAACCTAATTGGGATTGAGTATCTGCTTCCAGAACATGAGGTCACCGGGTCACCTATACCATCCTATACCTACCTTTTACGGAACTTGACAAATTGGCAACCTGTTGCCGCAAATTGCTGTGGATTGCTTGGGGCTTGGGGGTGGGTCAAATCCAGGGTGATCCAATGGCTCATATATGGATCGACATGACCTGAGCTCTTAAGAATGGTGCTTCTGCTTCCCGTTACCTGTGTGTGTCACCTACTACGGTCCAAGCTCTTCTTCCAAAGCCAAGCGAATCGGTTCCTCGGTCCCTCTTTTCGCGCTCACCTCAGGTTTACGTGCCCATGGCACGAAGCCGATGGTGAATTGGCCTTCACGTTGGTGAATTCGAGGGTATTTTGGAATGGAAGGGTGGCTTGTCCCTTCCGTAGCATCTCCGCTTCGTTCTGAGAATGGCCGTTTTGGCCATAGAAGCCAAATTTCGTGATACAAGACAACAGATTTCTACAGGTCCGGCTATGTACATCACCAGGAGGTGTCTCAAACTAAAAGGATCCAACCAAATCCAAGAATAACAGAAGATGTATCACCTCGCAGAATAACATCCTGTAACAACAAAGCTCCTTTCATCGTCTCAATGCAAACCTGGAGGATCTCCCAGGATCCATCGTGCCCTCCATGTGCAAATCACCTTCGTTTTGTGGAACCCATGTCCGGTGCCTGTCCGGTGCGACCCAAAACGGTTGCACCTGCGTTGCCTTTAGGTCCAAAGGTCTGAAGTCGCAGTCGTTTGATCCAAACGGTTGCAGGGTCCAGGGCCCGAAATTTGGGATATGGACATCTTGGTCGAGCCAAAAAACTGATGGACACCTAGCGGACCGATCTGGCGCATGGCATCCCTGAAGACCTGAAGACAAGTTGTGCAACCGAGTTTGTCAAAGATCTTGAAGTATGTACCAGGACCCGACACCGTGGGATGCCCTGTCTGGAAGCCTAGGCCGGTAGTGTGGGGTAGTCCAGCCAAGACACCCCGACAGGAGGGTCCAGGTTGAGATCGCTTGGCCATACTTGGCCTCCCAACAGGTCTCTTCAGCTTCAGAGCCCGGTGTCTCGTAGATTCTACCACGGTGAAGACCACATACGGTGAGGACCCCCAAAAAAGGGGCTGAGGCTGATTGCTTTCGACCTACCTACAGAGGTTGAACAGCCCTATAGCCTAATACGCTTATCCCAGAAGGACCCCCCAAAAAAATCAACAGGCTCCCATCATGTCTCTCAACCATGTCCACCTCTCAACCGATCTGCTCACACCGTTTGAGACCTCCTCACCCCGTTCGGGACACATCCCGCGCCACGCTCCGCTCCGTCGGCCGGAGGTCGGGTACCGGCTTGGTGGCGAAGCTCAAGGGCCGCGCGGCGGAGAGGATCAGGCTCGGTGGAGGCTTCCTGAGACGCGAAACCGGTGGCGCGGTGGAGTAGAAGGACATGGTGGCGCGGATGGCATGGCTGTGAGGGCTAGGGGAAAACTGATTGCCTGACTACATACTGTCTGTGTATTCGTATAAACTGTGTTGCATATGTGCACATAAACACATAAATATGTTTACACTTACGTATATCAATATATGCTATTGTTTTTCTATGATCTACAAACACGGGAGAAGCGTCCGCTTCCATAGTCGTATTCTCCATGGTATTGTGAGTCGTAGAGTATCAGGATACCACATCGGGGTGGTTCAAGCATACCCTGAATCACCTCCTCTGGGGCAGTAATTTATCAGGTGTTTTAAGTGGTAGTGGCCTGTGATGACTTTCAGTCCTAGAACCATGATGCCCTTCCCAAGATCTGATGGTTGAATAACACCCCAAAGTGCATCTCAAGGGTGCATAAACACTCTCCAATGGCCTCGGCAACCTGATTGACCCATCAGCCCCTTCTCCAGCAACTTGGAGAAAAAACAGCTGCCAGGAGTCCGAACAAATCTTCCTCCAAACTAAACTATACCAGGACCCTCCAAGGGGTGCCCAATGGAAGCCTATAGGTAGTGTGGGGTAGTCCAGCCAGGACACCCCGACAGGAGGGTCCAGGTATATATATATATATATGTGTTTTTGAATACACATACCAGTAGGGGCAGTGAAACAGTGTCAATGGACCCACCGCCAAGCTTCGCCAGAGGCGCCTCATCGGCACCACATGACTCGTTTCCAGGCCACTCGTCGCTCTCGCGTTGTTCGCGGGAGAGATCCTTGGGTCTCGAGGCGGTTGTGGAGGGGATCTTGGAAAACTACAAGTCAAGGACCTCATTCTACTGGAGATGGTCATGCAAAGCCACTTAAGGATCTAAAAATCCAGGTTTTACAGGGGTTCTGGATGTTCCTTCTGGCGGGGTGCCTGTTTCTTTCTCCGTTTGCTACCCATGGAAAACATGTGGGGCCAATGTGGGGTGTCCAGAAACTGCAAAGATTTGTTGCATTGAGTTCCTTCTTCGCAATGTTGGATGCTGATTAGTGATAGGGCCCTCTATAATGCTAAATTGTTCAACGATATGTTTTTTGACATCATGGCGCGCGCGCCATTTTTCCTTTGGTGGCCCGTGAGGTGCTGTATTCGACCCTGAGGTGTTACAAGGTTGGGCAGCAGTACTTGAGCAACTGGTTTTTGCAACAAAGCCAGCATCACGTCCACAAACAAAGCGGCGCAGGGGAAGTGAAGGGGGGCACCGGAGAGATGGACTATGCGACAAAACCCGCTCAAACTAAACAACAACAACAACAACAACAACAACAACAACAACAACAACAACAA